CTCTCTCTCTCTCTCTCTCTCTCTCTCCCTCCCTCCCTTCCTCCCTCCCTCCCTCCCTCTCCAGCTCTCAGCTCTTCTGAAGAGGCAACCTCTGCCTCCCTCCTCCCCACTTCCTCCTCTCTCTCTCTCTCTCTCTCTCTCTGCCCCCCATACTCCCTACGCTTATACCCTCCCAATGCCCACTAAATAAACTCTCCATACCCAAGCTTTTTCTGCATGACTTATCTGTCTGTCTCCCACCCGCTGTGGGATGCACAAGGGTCAATACTACACACTTATTACCCGCCATGCTCATCCTGTTTTAAACACTAAATCAAGCAGGCATAGTGGCACAGGACTCCAATCTCGGCACTCATGGGACAGACAGGGGCTGCAGGATCTCAAATGTCAGGTCAGTCTAGGTTTTATAGGGAGTTTCCTGCTAGTTTGGGTTACGTAATAAGACCCTGGCTCAAAAACATGAGGAAAAGCTGCTAGTGATGGCGCACACCTTTAATCCCAGTACTCTGGAGGCAGAGGCAGGCGAATCTCTGACTTCGAGGCCAGCCTGGTCTACAGAGTGAGTCCCAGGACAGCCAAGACACAGAGAAGCCCTGTCTTGAAAAGCAAGCAAACAAACAAAAAGGGAAAACAAGACTAGGGAAAAAAACTGTTCTTAAAACCTATGTCAACCCTAGGAGTTGGACTTCATATCCCCTACATTACACACAGATTGGTAATTCTCCAGTAACAAGGAGGAGGCAAAGACAGGACTTGAGCACAGGCCTTCCAGAGTTCTCTATCTGCACGGTGGAGATAGTTCAGTGGAGCAGAGCTGAGGAACAGGGAAGGCTATACGACTGAGTGAAAGGCTGTTTGGGGGTGAGCCAGGAGACAAGGTGACACTGGGGCACACATGGGGGTCGCCAGAGATGGTGAAGGTCTCCTCTGCTTGGAAGTAAGCCTTTCCCTAGAAGCATGAAGCAAGAACAAAGAGACCGCGTCCTTCATCTCAAGGAAGTGGTCAGTATTTTGGCCAAGGCCACCCACTTTGCTGGGACCCAGCGTCTCCTGAGAATGAGGAACCCTCCTTGGCCCCAGATAGGTAAATCAGAGCCAGTTCCTCTAACTCCACGCTCTAAAAATTATCGGACATGGTTCAGATCACGTCCCTCCTTTCAAGGCAGTGCCGTAAATAGAAACGGCACAGCACACCAGAGGAAACAATATTCACAGGAGAGAGGAAAATACAGTGGAGATAGAACAGTGTTTCTTGTCTGATTCCAGCACAAACGGCATTTGTTTGTTCTGCTGGAGCCGATCCAAACTTCAGAAAAACTTCAATCAGTAATAAAAGACTGACTTTGAAAAACCACAAGATCATTCAGAGATGGGGAAACGATCCATTTTCTCCACAGCCACAGCAGCCGTGGCGGCGGCATTTCCCAGGCTGGTGAGATGGCCACAAGAGTCGGGGCACCTCTAGACACCTGGGACTTACTGCAGCAACAGATCTTAAACACAAAGAGTTTGTTTTATGCAGCAACTTCAATGGCTTTTTGAAATTCACCCTTTGGATCTTATTTCTCACGATTAAGATTAAAAATGCAAAACAAAACAAGCCAGTGTTCCCTAAAAAGAATCCCTGCCTCGTGAAACATCTCATCCGGGGCATTTGCACAGCCAGCTGCGCGGCACCAGCCCCCAAACCTGTATTGACTGTCCTGGACTCACTTCTTTCTGCTGCTGCTGCAAACCAACGTTCTCATGGAGAAGAAAGTTGACGAGAGATGTGTGTCCCTTCCGGGTGGCTGCCTGCAACACACTGACATGGAGCTGCCAAAAAAAAAAAAAAAAAAAAAAGATGGAGAAGGAGGGTCAGGGGGAATTCCATCACTATCTGCATGCAGTCTGGTGCTCAGGACACGGTAATCAATTTATACAAGGAAATAGTACAACGATTTGGAAAAGGAGCTCCAGTGTGTTTCTGATTATTCTAGGGTCTGTCGCTTCCGAGGGTCTTCTGTTACCTTGTCACATGACCCCACGACCTGACTGGGTCTCCAAAATTCCTAATGCTAATGAGAGGAGATATGGAAGAGGAGGCAACAGGAAGGGGTAGTGTTAGGTGAGTAGAGTCCACGTGATGGTGTCCCTGCTCTGATAAGAAAGGCCAGAGGGCCAGCTGCTCCTCTTTCAGCCGTGGGAGGCCCTACAAATGGCCGCCAGTGAAGCCGGAAGGGCATCTTCACCAGAACCCGACACTGTTAGTGCCCAGGCTCGACTTTCCAGTCTCCAGCTATGAGAAGTAAATGCTTGCTGCTTAAGTCACTCAGTTTTCTTATTGCTAATTTTTTAACAGCCTGACCTAAGACACTGAGACACTACGACTCAGTCGCATGGGAGTTAAATCCCTATTTCCAGAATCAAGCTTACCCCTGTAGTCCCAACAAAGCCTTTCCTTGAGTTAAAATAGTTGAGTTGGCATTGGCCTCAAAAACGACCTCAGTGGTTTCTGGCTCTCCGCCTCTGTTTATTCCCAGCTCTCCTCTGTGCCAGGAATGACTTCAAAGCTTAGCAAGATTTCCACCCGTGTGAAGTGCTGCTTCTTGGTCCTGTCACCTGGTTCCTTTCGCAGCTCTCATTCTCTCGCTTCCGCGGCCTCGTGCCACCCTCCAGTGCCTAAGTATCTTTGCTTAGCACCTGAGCTAGATGGTGCTCAGCTCGAAATCGTGGCCTACTCGTGGTTAGCCTTCAGTCTGGCAGCAATGCAAGCCAATGGATTAGTTAGGGTTGATTATAAGATTTCCTCAATATAAGAGCATTGTAGAGAACTGCTTTCCCCGAAGCCGCTGCACTGAGAGCCCCTGACCTGCTCGTCAAGCCTCGTCAGCAGCTAGCATTCATTTCTTTACTGCCTTGGGTCTAGGTAGACCTGCAACTTCTTTAACCAATGAGTTTCTGGCAGGGTCCCTAACAGCTTCCATGCCCTGCCTTTTGTTTTTTTGTTTTGTTTTGGTTTGGTTTGGTTTGGTTTGGTTTGGTTTTTTGAGACAGGGTTTCTCTATATAGCTTTGGAGCCTGTCCTGGAACTCACTCTGTAGACCAGGCTGGCCTCGAACTCATGGGTATCCGCCTGACTCTGCCTCCCATGAGTGCTGGGATTAAAGGCATGCACCACACCACCCAGCTCACCTCCCTTCCTTTTGTACCTATGATTCTTGTAGCACTCACTTCCTCTTGCGGCCAGTTGCTAAGCTGTCCAAGGGTAACCCCACATAGTAGGCACTTGTTGCTACTGCAGTTGACCTCCCAAGTGACAGCTGGCAACATCTTCCAGATAAGTGAATGAACCATCTTGGATATCTAGTTCAGATAAAACATCACATGACTAAAATCCTGGCCACCCTCTGACTATAATCATGTAAATAGACTCCAAGAAAGATTATCGAAGATGGTTCCAGTCAACTCACTGGGAAAGTTTTCGGGATCAAAACATGTTTCCTTTTATTCAGTCCAAATAAACAAATAAATAATACCAAGATATTATAAAAGAGGGATCTGGTATACATATACCTACTGATGAGACCAGTCCTAGTTACTTTTCTATTGCTGCCTCCAAGTTGTTTTTCTATACACCATTACCAAAGTAACTGATAAAAGAGTTTATTGGCTTATGGTTTAGAAGTCGAGTCCATAAAAAAAAAAAAAAGGCGAGTCCATGACCATATCCAGGAACATGGCAGCAGATAGGCAGACTTGACACTGAGGCAAGAGCTGAGAGCTTACACGTTGAGTCAACAACCATGAGACAGAAAGAGAGTACTAACTTGGAATGGTATGGGCTTTTGAAACTTCGAAGCCACTCTTAATGACAGACCATCCACAACAAGACCACACCTCCTAAGCCTTGCCAAACACTTCCAACATATGAACCTATGGGGACCATTCTCATTCAAACCACCACAATAACTATTCTTAAAAGACTACCCAGGCCGGGCAGTGGTGGCACACGCCTTTAATCCCAGCACTCGGGAGGCAGAGGCAGGCGGATCTCTGTGAGTTCGAGGCCAGCCTGGTCTACAAGAGCTAGTTCCAGGACAGGAACCAAAAAGCTACGGAGAAACCCTGCCTAGAAAATTAAAA